CGAAGGCACTGAAACTAAAAAGCTCAAGAGCTCGGTTGCCATATAACTTTTGGACCTCGTATATCAAATCAATTCCATGACATTTTAGCAATCCGCTATCTTGTGTAGTTGTGATGACTCTACTTCCCTCACCAAACCAACCAACACCAGCCAAATTGTCTAATTGCTTCAATTGATTCACATCATCAAGAATTAAGAGAATTTTTTTATGGCTCAAACTTTCTTTTATGACACCAATTCCTTCATCAATACTATAAATTTTCCATTCTCCGCCAAGAATTTTATGAAGAAGAGTCTCCTGTAGCTTGATTAAGCCTCCATGTGTCATTGAATTTTCCCTAACATTTTCCAAGAAACAACTTCCTTCAAACTCATAGGCAATTGCATTCCATATAGCTTTTGCAATTGTTGTCTTGCCTATTCCAGATGTCCCCCATATCCCAACCATGCGACGACCATTCCCACCAACATCTAAATGCCTTTCCACATCTTGTACACGAGATTGAATTCCAACTGGGTACTTGGCCACATTCCAATATGTGCGGCTCAGTACTTGGCTTAAGATTCCATCAACGATGCTGTTGATAAATGTAGTTTCATACCTGCCAGTTTAACCAAATTACACACATTCAATGAATCAGATTTAAACAAATCCAACCACGCAAAAGAACACAACATACTCAAGTATGTAATAGTTGTTCTGACCAAAAAAGATGTAATAGTTATTTAACCACAAACCTGTGTTATGTATCATTTATACTTGTATGCCTTTTGAAGAGATTAATATATGGATTTTGAACTTTCTGCTTACAGCTATCGAAAATACAAAAGTACCCAAGAAAATAAATCTTCTCACTACAGTTGTATATTTTTATAACAGAATACTTCTCACTACGTAATAGTTGCTCAACTTGACGCTATTCAGTTTCACGTAATAGGCGAAATTATCATATAATACTTAGCAAGCAACATAAGATCCTACAAAGCAATCTAAAGAAAACATTAAAAAGTAGATATCATCGGTTTTCAAAGTCGATATGCAAAATGATTTCTTATAGAGAAATTATTTGTTAGCTAGCTGAGTTGACTTTGGCTTACCTTGTTCTACTTCAAATGATTAAGTTTTATGATGGCTCGTTTGGGAGTGATTCTTGATAGATCAATAATCACTTTTATGGAGAAGTACATGGAAAGTGTTTCTCTCCATAATCACTAAAAATTACTAAAAATGATTATATAAAGAAGCACGTGGAAGGTGTACCCAATAAGTGACAGAATAACTACCAAATGAATTTGGTAGATTTTCGTCATCATTGGCATAAGAGTTGGATTAACAAAATCGTATAACACAAACATATCCTCGCTAGATCAAGTTCCAATGATCAATTGCAATTGTGTCTATAATTTTAGCTGGAAAAATTGAAAGGAAATTCCAATGCAAAAGTACTCGTGATTTTATATTTATTCGATTTCCAATATTATGAGTTACATAATTACATTACTCTATTGAGAAAAGTGGAGGGCATCTTCATCAAAACATTTTTTATATATAAATTTAAGTAATATTTCTAGAAATGTTACTTTAGCTAATCATGTGGTGACTCATACAATACTCTCTATTTCCAATATTCTGCAGTTGCTGTGGCAATCCTGTACCCACCCACGTGTGGCAGCACACAAGACTTGATGTCTTTTTACTTTTTCTAATTTTTTTTTAATTATATATTATTAGTGTATTTTGTATGCTTATTAAAATATATAAGTTTGGCCTCAAAATATGACATCGAAAATATTTATTAAAAACAAATTAAAATAAAGATCTTCTCCCTACAATTTAATAATGAGTAACAATTAAATGTGTAACAAATAGTAATGAGAAAGAAGAGAGAAAAAATTAAACATGAAAATGATAAAGATAGAAATATACGTACTCTCCATCCTTGAAAGTATGTCCGGACAAATTTGCTGTTTTTGTAAGAGCTTCCCTCCATATGAGCACCTTCTCCTCGTTATCTTTGAATTTGCTTTCAATAAGGCCTTCAAATGCGTCACCAAATTTACTTGTTTGTTTTCGCACATCCGACGGATCCAGCTTGTAAAAAATGGGCAAAACTACTTGTTGCTTTGATTGTTTACATTGAAGGATCTTGACAAGTTCATCCAAGCACCACCTCGAAGATGCATAGTTTTCAGAGAATACAATGAGAGAAATTCTTGATTCTTCAATTGCTTTGACAAGGGCTGGCGATATTTCTTCTCCTCTCACAAGCTCTCGATCAATGAAGGTCCGGATTCCCTTACGGACTAAAGCCTCCTTCAAATGATCTGTAAAATTGGTGCGTGTATCCTCACCTCTAAAACTCAGAAAGACATCATATGGAGAAGAAGAAGAAGAAGAAGGAGAAAAAGAGACTGGTTGAGTGGTCATAGATAGGAGGCAGATAATTAAAAGTATGGAGAAGCTCAAAGAATTGGGTATGGCAGTGGCGCTCTGGTTAGATTTATGCGGGCTTGACCAAGTCATCAAACGCTGAATTTTCTTTTCTTACTGACGCGGTCTTTAATTACTTTGAAATGGTCAAACGGTGATATTTAATTTCTTTTTTCACTGACACGCTTTCTTTGAAATGGTCTTTCTACCCAAAGATTTTTATATTTTTTTGGTCTGAAATTAAAAAATTGAAAGATTATTGAAACGAATTTTATAGATTCGAACTAGAGACCCAGGTCAAAGCTCTTTTTTATTAGACTAGATCTCTTTTTCTTAAAAATCGCTTTCTTAGATAAAGTTTATGGAGAAATTAAAAAAACAAACACCGAAAGTTTTTCTTTTGTTTTTTTCACTTTTGCTCCAATGATTATAAGAATATTTTAGTAACAATGTTTCATTTCATTGTATGAAGAACTTTCGGTGATATTTCTTTTGTCACCACGCGCTTTCTTTGAAATGATGGTCTTTCAGTGGTTTGTTTTTGTTTTTGTTTTTAAAGCTGGTGTGACGACTCTATCTCTAATGCGACGGTACGTACAACGTGTTGAAGTGAAGGTCAATAGAGGGTTCATCATATAACTAGTTAACCCTTAAATATAGTTAACACTATAAGAGGAAAGCATGCACAACAAAAACAATTGGCTGAGTCAAATTAGCTTTCATGCTCAAGCAAGATGATAGAATACGAGGCCTCAATAACCACAAATTCCGTGACCGGTTCCAACAGACCAACTACCCATACCTGATTAAGAACTCAACACAACACTAAGGGTTAGCAAGAGTGTCCTTTTTACATAAACTCATACCTTTTACATCAGTACAAGTTCATCCGTACAAGCCCTTCCGGAGGTTTAGGGGATCGAAACCCCAAGGTAGTCACACGGCTCCTTTCACTCTCAGGTCACAAATTAAGTATAAATTGTATCACAAGAAGGGCATGCTGTACTAGCAACCAAACACGATGCAGAGTTCTCACACATCAATATTCACATACATATACACAGGAAAACCTCTAACCAAGGCGTGAAGACCCCCTACCTGGTGTCCACACAACCGTAAAACCAAACGTCACAGTAGAGCTCCAAGAGAGTCAGAAATCCCTATAAACAACAAGGATCAATATCAAACCCCAACTCACATTAACACTTTGATTCACAACCCACTTCCACTTCTTGGGTTTGTTAAACCAATATATCCATTTCTTAGGACAATTCTATCTCTTAGGAAAGCCTCTGATCATGTGATTCTGCTCTGGACTTATAAAAGAAATCAAAGACTTCCATTAAAATCAGAAACTTCAGTTTTGTTAAACAATTTAGGCAGGAACACTTTGCCTTTGGAAAATCATTAAAAATCCATTTTGATTCAAAATGGTGTGAACATTTCCAGATCACACGTAGACGTATAAAACTTCAACATATCAAAAGTTCATCGAATTCCGAGTTAAGGAAGCCAGTCAAAGACTAAATCCAAAACAAACTTGGCTGCAGAGTTTTCTGTTTTCTGCAGAATAATGCCAACTTTGAAAATTTGCCAAAAATCCAATTTAACTCCAATTTGAATGAAATCAGTTTTGAAATACTCATCGAAATGTCTATTTTTCACCCATCAAAAACCCAGTTTAAAACAGAAGTGCGAACTAGGTCATTCTGTCCAGAACAGAACACATACTCAGATTTCTGCATAAATGCAGATTTCCTCAACATCCATCTCATTCTTTAAAATTCAGTTCTAAGCAGCTTTAAACACCAGAACAGTCCCAAATTCAAGATAAAAAATGACTATTATCCTCATCAAACTCAGAATTATCCAACACACCCAACTACCAAGGCCACAACAAACTTGAAAGTAGAAACTTACCCAACTTCCACTTCAACCCAAAAATTACTCTGAGTTCTCTGTAGGTTCAGCCCAAGGTAGATTCTTCACCTAGTGTACTTGCATGTCATCAAATAACATCTAAAATCACTTATACAATCTCACTTAAATCAATGTACTTTAGAATTCCAGCAGCAAGTGTGGTAAACAAATCTTACCTTAACAGCTCCAAAGTAATCCTCAACCTTCAATGAGCTGCCTAGCGACCACCATTCTCCCAAACCACGCTTGGAAACAAGATCTTAAAGCCTAATCAGTCACGAACTCAAAAAGAGGAGATTTTCGAAACTTAACCAAATCCAATAATGGTTTACCTTTCTTGTAGAGCTCGTTCCTACGATCCTAATGGCGAAAAAGGCGCAAGAATTGGAGTTGTAGAATGAAAGTTATGGTATAAAGAAGTTGAAGGAGGAAGAAGAGATAGAATGGGTTTCTGGAAAGAGAAACTCGTGAAGTAGGAGGTGAAGAAGGAATAGGTTCTCACGTTTCTAGCTAAAAACTAGGGTTGGGAACAGTTCGGTTCGGTCTAGTAATCATCTCAAACTGAAATCAGAATCGGTGCTATTTTACGTATTAGTAAAGTAAGGAATCAGAGAATTTAGGAATTGGGGAATTACTAAATCGGTATGGGAAGAATTATTCCCATTAAGCTGTTTACTAAACATATGGAATTAGCTTAGAAATGTGGTTGATTCTCATTGTTATTGTTTACTAATTTACATGAATCAGAATCCAAATTAATTTGATTACCAAAATGTCCTACACATTTTCACCATAGCACATATATAATTCTCAAATTGGCTAGCGAGACTAAACTAATCTTGTAGCAAACCAGTAAGGCGGTGTAAACATGAGGAATCAATATGCTGAAGAACATCTAGAGCTCAATTCAATGATAATGTTAATAACACCTTTGTCCAAAGCCAATTTCAAACGAAAAAATAAATTCCAATAAAAGTATATATCTTTCACCTACGTAACTAGTAAACAATCAAATAATAATAACTTGCATAATCTTCATACGATTAAATACATAATCTTCATATTACCAACAAAGAGATATATAATCTCCACAAAAATCTTTATTCAAGACCGAACTTTGTTTTGTGATGAATGTGAAGACAGAAGATAGAAGAAGATAGATAGATAGATAGATAGATAGAATGACTTTCATAGCACAAGGCATTGTTGCTGCTTCTGGGAGGTTGTGTCTACAACGCTAACGTGAAAAAGAAGTTGGAGTGTCTTGGAACTTCTTGGCATGAGTATTTATTTTTTTTTAAGGGTTTGGGGTGTTTTGGAATTATGGTAAAGTGGTAAGGGTATTTTTGGAAGTTAATAAGAGAAAACAAGAATGGGAATCGTATCGACTACTCCCCCCTAGTTGATCTAATACCTAGTTTTGAGGGGATGTGATTACGGATTTTGAGGTGGGGCCTACTTATTTTTTCATTCCTGATTGCAAGTAAACGCAGGGGAAGTCAGGAATGGAAATCATTCCCTTTCCTCCCATACCCATTACTGATACGTAAACATGCCCTAAGTGGTCTACTTTGGTTTTACTAATCTTTTTTTAACCAGCTGGTTCGGTTCTCATCGGTTCTAGCTTTGAACCGGATTATTTATTTATTTATTCTAACAAAACATTTATTTTTTCAACTTGAAAATTAACAAATGATCCAATTTATACAAAGAGAGATGCTTTGAAATTGGCCTTGGAAAAGTATTAGTTATAAAATTAAAAATGTAGCATTGAATTTAAATAATTTTGTAAAAATAATTATACAAAATTAGTCCGATTCGGTCTGATCGGATTTGGTGCAATGTGAAATGGAAATCAAAGTCAGTCCAGTCCAGTTCACTACCGGTTTGTTGTAGGAGTGGGAACAGTTCGGGTTGGACCGGTTTTTGCCTCAAATTGGAACCGATCCGGTACTATTTATTCGGTTTGGATCGGTTCGGTTTTAATTAAAAAAAATTCAAAAACTGTCCGATTCGGATTGAACCGATTCTAGCCCAATTCTGGTTCGGTTCGAGTTGAACCGGATTATAAAAATTATTTTTTAATACAATTTTCTACTGAAAATTTATTTATTTAGACTTGAAAATTAACAAATTATTCAATTTCATATAAAAATAAATATTAAAGTTAGAAAAGAGAGATATTTTGAAATTGAACTTGAATAAATATTAGTTATTAAATTAAAAATATAGCATTAAATATAAATAAATATTAAAATTATATATTTTTTAATTTGACCAGTTCGGTTTGGCCCAGTTCAGTTTTTGAAGACATGAAACCGGATCCAAAATCGGTCCAAATCGGTCCGGTTCAGTTTTTGACCGGTTGTTGACTTTTTGGTCAACTCGGTTTTTTTCCGGTTTGGTTCGGTGTGGTTCGGCTCGGATTTCTAGTTCGCCGATTTGAGTGCCCACACCTAGTTTGTTGGCTTTTTTTGTCAACTATTTTTTTTCCAGTTTTTTCCATCTGATCCTGTCACGACCCGATTCGAAAAAAAAGAATATTCCCGAATCGTGGCGTGAGTCATACCATAGTCATAAGAATAAAATCCTACAACCATAATATGATGAGAAATAGAGCCACAAAATAATACAAATTTACTTAACATTACAAAATCAGAGTCGTAGTAGCTTGTAGTTAACTACACACTAGGATTTTTAACAAATGGTTGAATACTTATAAATATTAATTACACAAATCAACAACAAACACCTAGCAGCTTAGTTGAAACCCGCTTCCTCAAACTTCGTCTTGAATCCTTTGAATCCTGCACAATCTATTAGGGTATGAGCATTCTAATGCC